ACCCTGTGCGACAAGTGGCTTATCATACACGATACACATGGTAGCAAACATGTGTGATCAAGTGAGCTATCATCAACGATTACACAGAAGAAAACATGTGAGATTATGTGCCAACATATATTAAAAAAGTTCAATCTATCTCAAAAAATGTTCCCATTTCCAAATTTGTTCACAAATTCAATAAATTTTCTGAATGTTTAAGAAATGTACATGGTCTTGAAGTATATTCCGGATTTGGAAAGATGTTTGGAATTTCAAAAAATGTTTGTTTTCTGAAAAATGTTCAAGAATCTCCAAAATTGTTCGCAATTGTTAAGAATGTTTGGAATTCAAAAATTGTTCACCTTTTTCAAATAAATGTTTGAAAATTTGAAAGATGTTTATATTTTGAAAAATGTTAACAAATTTGAAAAAATATCTTTTTTCAAGACCTGTTATCTACTTTCAAAAAAGTTTGAACCGCACTACAATCTCCATGGGCTTCTACTACCGAGCCTTACAAAGGGCAGTCCCACTCTTGCATCGTTGTGTACCTCGCACATTCTATTGGACCCAACGAGCGTCCAATAGGAGCACTTTTGAACAAAGGCCTACACGTGGCCTACGGTGGGCCCAAGTCACCGGTTTTAGTTTGGTTTTCTTTGGGCTTTTTCTATTTCACCTTTTTGAATAAATGGTAAATTGAGTTATTTTTCTAAAAAACTATATTATAGACAATAAAAAATGCTCATAAAAATGTTCACCGCATATTAAGAGTTATTCATCATGTATTTTTTTTAAAAATCATCATGTATTTGAAAAATGCTCAACACTTGTAGTGAAAGTGTTCATGCGTCTTAAAATGATCATCGCGTATTTTAAAAATATTCGTCGCTTAATATAAAAATGTTATTTTATACAATAAAATGAAGAAAGAAACACAATAACAAAACAAACTGGAAAAAAACCATGAAGAAAAACATTGCTCAAAGAAAAGATATAGGAGTTCAAACAAAAAAACGTTCTCTAGGCTATGATATGTGTTTCTAAATCCATTTCACTATATTTTGTTTATTTAATAGAATAATGCCCGTTCGTTGCAACGTGAATTAAGTATTCTAGTACATTAGCTCGTAATTTACCTACCCTTATTAGTTGTGCAAATAAATGTTCAACAAATCATGCCCATGTTTGTGTAAATAAATGTTTATCAAATCCTACCAGTGATTATGTAAATAAATTTTCAGTAAGTTAAGATGGAATTGGTGCAAAAGGATAGTGAATTAAGTTGATTGAGTAGTGCATGGGGAAGGTGCAAAAAATATGTGGCGGTAATAAAAACCGTTTGGACAGAAACAAATCAGCGAACAAACATGGTGGAGGGGGGAGAACCGAAGCATTGTGCTGGCAGAAAAAAGAATGCTACTCTTTTTTAAATAGTATATAGAGATTATGAAGCAAACACCTCACAGTCCTTTATTGAAGAGGCATGTTCACTCCACTTCATAGGAAAAACAATATACTAGTCACACACATACTTGATACTTCCAGACATAACTCGACGCTTATCTTGAAGTGATGTAATTAATAATACTTCTTAATACGTCTTTGCACTAGACAAAGAGATAGAAGGCACTCGTACTTAAGATTTTAGCGTGACATATCAATGCAAGTGCAAATTAAACCGGGGGCACACAAACCACAGCATGCAGGTACAGGTTGTTCTTCCGTCGGACGATGAGGCCCATTTCCTCTGTCATGTCCATCCCATTTGGTTTCACCCCTATTGGCAGCTCCCAGTCGAAGTGGTAGAGAAGTGCGGCCAGCACAATCTCGATGCTAGCCTGGGCAAACATCATGCCAGGGCACATCCTTTGACCTGCCCCAAATGGTATGTACTCAAAGTCTGTTCCTTTGAAATCAACCATGCTAGATTCAAACCTCTCTGGCTTGAACTCCTCGGGGTCTTCCTAGTGATTAGGGTCTCTTCCGATTGCCCATGCGTTCACCAACACCGTGGTGCCCTTGGGGACGTCGTACCGAAGGATTTTGCAAGGCTCCCTAGCCTCCCTAGGGAGAAGCAACGGTGCAGCTGGATGAAGCCGCATTGTTTCCTTGATGACGAGTCTGAGGTACTTGAGATTGATCAAGTCATCCTCGGTGACCTTAGGCTTTCCTTGGAGGTTGTTGCGTACTTCGGCCTGTGCCTTCCTCATCACATTTGGGCACCTCATGAGCTCTGACATGGCCCATTGGAGAGTGGTTGCTGATGTCTCGCTTCCGGCACCAAACAGATCCTGCAATTTCCGATTTGATGAAATTTGGAGTTGCTACCTATTCTTGGCAGTTTTGGATTGTCACCCATATGCAGTGAGATATTCAGTAGCAAATCCTCGAGTAATAGAGAATATAACATATAACAATTCTTGGATTCTGTCTGACTAAAGAAAAAACAAAAGGAATTAAGAGGCACTTGTGTCTTGCTAACTACTCTCTTGTTTCGAAATACTTAACCTTTCTGTTTTGCGGCAACTACTCCACAGTTTTAAAATACTTGAACTGCTTTAATATATGTTGGTCAATTGTTTTGGTTTGACTCAAATTATGAAAGGAATTTTAACATTGATAATACACTGAATCAATCACGAAATGAACTTGCGAAAAAATGTATAATTAGTTTTGTTTAATACTGCATATTTTCGACTGCGAGGTGGATGTGGTGACTGGTGAGTAATCTCCAAACCATTCAAATTTCAAAAAATATGGCATATTTCTTACAGAACTCTGGCCAAGGTATAACAACTTGAAGAGAGGAGGCAGAAGCTAAGAAATTGTAGTACTTACAAGTATAACTGCTTTGATCATTCCCATGGTAAGAGGCACATCGAGGCCACCTTCCTTGCGTATCCTCAGGAGCGCGTCCACTAGGTCCTCTCCTTCCTCCATGGCACTGTTCACCGAGGCGGCGGTGGCCCTCTGCTCCTCATGTTGCTTGATCGTGTACTCCATGAGCTCGAAGCTCCTGCGGTGGTACTCCTCGGCCCGCCTGGCCGTGCCGCTGATGAAGCTCGCGAGCCACGACGATTGGAATAGATCGCCGAGGCTGAACCCGCTGGCAATCTTGACACCATCCTCGAGTGTCTGCAAGAACTCCTCACGCCTCTTGAACCTTTCCCCGATCATGGCGCGCACCGCCGAATCGGTGATGAGGACGGCAATTCGCTCGCTCGCGTTCACAGGCTCCATGGGCGGCGCCGTCGCGATGGCGGCTACGAGTCGGCTGACCTCGTCCTCCCGGATGTGGCGGAATGACTGCACGCGGCGTGCGCCGAGAAGCTCTAGGATGCAGATCTTGCGGAGCTGCCACCACAAGGGGCCATAGGGCGCGAATACCAGCCCTTCCGAGTTCATGATCTTCATGGTGGGGCTCCACGGCCGCGTAGCAAAAACGACGTCGTGCGTCCTCATGATCTCGCGGGCAGCCTCCGGGGATGTGGCCACCATCACCGGCACCTCGCCAAGCTTGAGGTACATGAGAGGCGCGTCGAGCCGGTGAGCGAGGTCGGCCATGACATGGTGCATGAGCGGGTTGCCGGCAAGGTGATGAAGGCTGCCGATGACAGGTAGCCTCCACGGACCGGGTGGCAGACGCAGGCCGCCATTGCCGCTGCTATGCTTCCCGTTGAGCTTGAAGAGAAGAAGAGGAAGGAGGAGAGCCAAGAGAAGGCAGAGGTAGTACGCCCACTACTCCATGGAGAGGTCTCGCGTGTTGAGCTAAGGCGCAGTGTGGTAGAGTGGAGGTGATGCTGCACTCTGAGTCTCTGACTCGAGGGCCTGATCTTATATAGTACAAAGTAGGTACACCCGGAGTAGAAAATCCTATATCTGTTAGTAATTTAATACGTAGGTTTTAATAGATTTTCGTCTCTAGCTGTAGGGAGAGCACAAGTGTTACAGAACAAGCTGACGCACAATCAAATTTGAATGCTAGCTGTAGCTAAGACTTTTCTGATCCGAGGTTAGTAATTAATAGGCTTTCGTCTCCGGCTGAAGGATGGCAATGGGTACCCATTACCCGCGTACCTTGCGGGTAAAAACCCTATTAGGGTAAGGGTATGGGAAGAAAATTTACTCATGGGTAATTAAACGGGAAAATATCATACCCATCGGGTAGAGAGGGTACGGGTATGGGATCATAAAACTCACGCCCGCGTACCCATGTACCCATCTAAAATGTTGACAAGTGGGTTTACTTTATTATCCTAATGTATCAATTTTCCCCTCATAATCGCGCTAGATAAAAACTTTAATGTGTAGTCAAATTATCTTTATAATTTATCATGATTTTATGAACTTAAAGTGTACGCCTATGTGTTGTTATTTATAATTATGTGTTGTTGTTTAACATTTTTATGTGTCACTTTATAGGCAAGTAATTTTGTTTATGAGAATGTGTTGTTGTTAAAATATGTTGTTTAAAATGTGTTGTTATTAATAATTTATGATTATATGTTGCTTTTTACAACTATTTTCGACTCAATTGATGTGTTGTAAACTCGGGTATTTTTACCCGCGGGTACCCATATACCCTGTCGGGTGACGGGTATGGGAAAAGGTTATACCCTTGACGGGTATGGGTATGGGTGATAGGTAAGTTCAGGGTGGACGGGTAAGGGTATGGGGTGGCTCCACCCGTACCCATACCCTGCGGGTGCCATCGGGGCTGATGGGTGGGATTAAGCACATTACGCAGATTAGAGGGCAAAAAGCGCTCTAACAAATCGAACGGTTTTATGGTAAATTATGCTATCACGAGGATGACAATTTCCTTTAGCAAGCGTGGAAATCCTGTCAAAAAGTTGAACATGGCAAGGATTTGCATTGTATGCTAAAGAATTTGCCATCCTCCTAACAACGTGATTTTTCATAAAAACGTTCGATTTGCCATGCTAAAAATTTGATGCTCGATTTGAAGCGAAATCCGTTTTTTATTTGCTAGCTAAAAGATCTGATGCTTGATTTGTAGCAAAGTTTAAAAGGGAACTTTTAAAAACTCTCATCTTTATATTTAGGGAACCAAGAGGAAATATAAATGGCACTTTATATTGAGATTTTTGGTGGGATGAAACTTCCACACCAAACTCCTTCCTCTTGCCGTAGCCACCTTTGCTGCCTTGGCGCAGATTCTTGCACGCGGCATCATCACGACCTTGCCAAAGGTAGTGATATCCAAAAGAATTACGTTTTATTGTTGTCCCATATCCATATGTATACTTTAATTTGGACATTGTAAATAGCGAGAGCAAATAAAGTAGCTACAACTCCAATGTAAGCAGCTTGATATGGATTTTTTTTTTTGCGGGGGAGCTTGATGTGGATTCCAATGCAGACAAACAAGAGAGCTAGCTGTGTTTGGCAACAATGACCTAAGTCAAGTACTCAAGTACATATGGTACAGGGATGAGCACACTCCGATGGTTACTTCAAGCGAGCTGTAGATATTGATTACTCAGCGCAACTGCCAAGATTATGTCAAGACATGGTAGTTGTTCACGTCCTTCGATATGTCCCAAGTGAGTGCCGATGGGATGCATAGACCAATTGAATGTCAGGGTTACGTAAACCAACTAGTAATCATGTACTCCCTCCATTTCAGTTTATAGGGTTTATCTCAATTTTTTTGTTCTTCCAATTTAAAGGGCTTATCTCCATCCCATTTTATGATTCCGATGGGCATTAAATCTTTGCATGCAAGAATTAAAAAGGAATACACCAATGCATGCAATGTTCCTACGATGCAATGCACATTATTATGCACTATTTTTTGTAGGGGATATTAGGCAATAGATTAACTGCATCGTGTAATAATACTAGCATTTGGCAAGATTGTAATTGCATGTTAATATTAGGCCATATATAATTAATTGGTTGATGGTGACGTTGATATTATGTATACTATTAATTAGGGAGTATGCTAACTTTCTTTAGCGCTACACCGAGGCAAAACAGACCATTGGATAGACTCGGTTGAAAGGATGAGATATGTTGGATCTCTACAACTAGCTCTTTTTATATTGGTATATAGATATAGATTACAATTTGATACAACATACTAGTAGCAAACGTGAAAGTGAAGAACGAAATAGAAATACAGAATTATCTATTTCCAACCTAAGATTGTACCAAATGAATGTGTTCAATTTCAGATTTCATTTCCACAAAATAATTTGACAAAAAAAGAATACATAATTTCAGGCTTTTAAATCTGGAATCTATCTACCAAGTTTTGTTGAAATTATTGGGGTTTAGCGCATTGTTATTTTCTATAATTTCTGGGTGAAATTAGAGAGGCCCATATGGCCCATTCACTCATTATAGAATGTTTAGTCCCACCATCCTGGTGAAGGGCGCGGAAGACCAACATATAAGGTGGGTTTTTCAACACACCTCTAAGAGCTTGAGCAAAGGGCACATACATGTGTGCTCGTCCTCCTCCGTCACCTGCCTCGCACTCGTGCGTCGTGCTTCGAGATCGAGCTGAGCTGAGCAATGGTAGGAAGAACGCCTTGTGGTTTATTTCTCTTCCTCGACTGTTGGTTCTTCCTCCATTGTGGTTAAGCACGACGACTTCGTGCCGACGTTGATGACCTCCTCGGTGACATGGCGAACGAGTTGGTCAAAAAAAAACATGGCGAACGACGTGCCTGCATCTTCTTCCACCGCACCACATGTGTTCTTATCCCTTCTGTTAGGGACAGCATCAGGTCTACTAATCTTATCTACGATATGAATATGATGTTTGTTTGTTATGTACCCAATTGCATGACTACTTATATAATTTTGCCACTTTATTATAT